TGATTCTTCCCTAGATGCTGCATTAACATTATGAGCCAAATATCAAGGAAGAACCAGGTGAAAGCTTCATAATAAGGATGTCTGAATAAAAGTCTACATTAAGTGTGTTTTTAATTCAGATTTGATTAAAAAAAACTACACTTTTACGTGGAAAAACAAACACACTTTTACTTGCATCTGGGCAATGTTCAACGCTCTATAAAAGTAGTAATAATTGAAGCATCCCTTTCAATTCCTCAGTTTTGAAATCACTTCAGAATAGGCCTTAGAAGCATATAGGTGGAAGGGACCATTGAGGCCGCTGAATCCAATCCCTGCTCAGGGCAGTAATGCAAATTAAAGCATCCCTGAGAGACGGCTATCTAGCAGCTGTCTCTACATGTATCAACAGGAAAGGATAATTTGGAAGTTGTTCTATCACATACTTGATTCTGGCAGACAACCTATTTTGTGAGCTGATGGGTTTGATAGGTGTGTGTGTTTCAGTGCATTGTAGGAAAGAACCACCAACTGCCATAAGTCTTTTCTTTGTTTTCTTATAAGATACAGTTGCTCTCTGCCCCTCAGGAGTCCACCATCCTGAGTCTAGTTCTGCAGCATATTTTCTTCTTTCCCTGAATGTTCAGAATCTGTTTCATCTGCAAGGACCTCAGCTGCAGCAGTACAGAACATCTTCTACATCCCTTGCTTCTGACTGCAAATATCATTGCTTCCACAGTCACTTTCTGTTGTAGTGTCTCCTTTCTTTGAACTGATGAATCCCATTTATTTTTTAATTTATTGTTAAATTTATATCCCCCCCCATCTCCCCCAGAGGGTGACTTTGGGTGATGAATCCCATGCTTTCTTATCCATTGAAGTGGGGCCATTTAATGCTCCAGTCTTTTGACTTTTTGTTGAAGACTGAGCTTAGTTTAGCTGTAAATATATGCCAGGTTTTTTTCAGCCAGGATGACAACTTTGTCACAAGCACTGCAGCTCACAATTGCAAGTTCCTGTCCATTCATATTCAGTTTTGTTTCTTAGAGCATTGTGAGGGAGCAAAGTTGGGATTGCTGTCTGTGCTTGAGAAAAGTAGTTGCAGCCAGGCAAAAATGCTTCTCACCCCATACCCACATACATACATTCATTCATTCACTCACAACTTTACTCATAAGCATCCAAGCCAGCATTCCAGCTGCCAGTAATAATTGAGCCAGCCCCTGGCTTTTTCAAGGACGCGCCGATGTCCAGAGGCAACCCACCCCACCCAGGCTCTCAGCTTACGAAAACAAACTTTAAGACAGAGTGGGAAGGGATGTAGGAAAAAAGGAGATTAGCAAACAGCATGCAGATGGAGAAGTGGAGGCGACATCTGGAGATTGGCAGCTCTTACAAGCGGGCAAGAGGACTATTAGTCAACTGCCAGGACCACAAGCTAAGGTGAGCAGCATATCTTGGTGGAAGTCCTGCTTGGAGCTTTGCCGGAAGCTCCGTAGCAACCAGAAGAGGAACAATCGCACTGAGGTAGCACCTCAACCCAATTAATGTCAGAATTTTTGGAAGGAGGCCACTTTGTAGACTTTGAGACTTCTGCTTGAACTAAGTGTTAAAGGACTGAGTATTAAAGACATATTTACATGGCAACATCACCTTGCAAGACCTGAAGGGTGGAGAGCAATAGTCTGTTGTTGGGGAAGGTGTGTGGTGTAGTAAAGCATTGTGTACAGATTTATTACACTGTGTTGTGTCCAGTCCTTGGGAAGCAAAGAACACTCACAGGCATCACCAGTAGAAAGGTTTTTATTTCTTCTTGTTCTGTTCTCAGCTTCTCACAGTAGCCTAACACAAATTTTTGACTGAGAAGAAAAGTTTCTTAGACACTCTCTTTATACCCCCACTGTTAAGGCTTCATACAAGGTAGCTACAGCAAATAAAATCTTAGTTCTGCATACCCAAGAAAACACAATAAGGATAAATAGTACTTCTACTGGAGAGAATTAGGAGGCTGAAGGTACAAAGAAGGACTGTGTCTAACAGCACTGAGGAATCCTACTCTCTCTATATATTAAAATCAAAACTGAAATACTCAGCTTCTTCCTCCTGCCTTTTTGAATCAATGGCTGTTCATTTCCTGGCTTTGAAGGTTCTATCATCTGCCCCTTGTTTAGAAACAGATTTCTGTCATGAGAATCAAAGATTCCTACTTCACCAGCTACAACCCTTACACATTTCCACCAAACTCCCCTAGAAACCCTTGTTAGCTCTCCTTATTCCTTGATCCAGAAAAGTCAGGGAGGGACTTATCCCCCTTCTAACTCTCTTAATATGTTAAAAGAGGTAAAAAGCAATGATGTTCTAGCGAGAGAATGAAGCAATGAAAACAGCCTTGGAAGCAAAAACACATTGATGATATTTCAGAAATTGCCTACTGTTCAGTGTAGTCCCATCTGTTTATACAACTCAACCCTTCTGATGTCAACATATACTCACTGATGAAAAGAGCTATGCATTTTTAATAAGCAGTAGACCTATGTGCATAGAGTTTCTAATAAACCATTCTTAATTTTAAAGAACATTGAGACAATTTAGCCCCTCCTCTGATTCTTCTACTCGCCCAGAACATACCATCAGGACTAAATAACCTTCAGTAAATTAAGTTTTATGACCTATGTTTGTTTGTAGCCTATTTATTTCTATACAGAAAAGTTATACAAGTTACATTTGTATCTGAATAAATTATACTGTATAACATTCTTCTTAATTTTAATGATCAGCCACAATTGGCATGAATAAGAATATTCTCTATCCCACAGAACTTCATACACAAATTGTGTTTGGCACAGATAGCTTTAGAAAGGAATTTAAAAACTGCTCTCACAACAGCTAATAGCATACTAGTTAGAATGTAAATTACGGGGGAGGATATTTTTTACTTTCATATTATAAACATTAATACTGACTCTTCTAGGAAATCTATACTGTCTATTAAATGGATAAATAAAGTACTGTAGCATATTTATAAATATGGATTTCCTTTCTTATACATTAAAAGTTCCTACAATTTCATTGAGGTTCCACTAATATCAACTAGAAACCTATAATAATTTAATGAATAAAAGATAATAACTGAAACTTTTCATTGAATCTTACCCGTAGAGATTCCATGTAGGATTTATGACAATCTATGTGTAATGTATGGCCACATGTTTGTACATAGACGCCTCCTTCCCAGCCAATAGATACTGATTGCAGACAAGAACTCTAAAAAGTAAAGCATAACATTTAAGATAATGCACATGGATTCATTGTTAGTTTAAAATACAGTATACTAGATTCATTAAAATATTCACATTTTTGCTTATTGAGCAAGGGTAGTATAAGTTATCACTGTTAAATCTAAAAAGGACTCTTACAGTTATTACAGAAATTTGCCTAGAAAACATTATACTATACATACAGTATTTACTGCAACCAGTATTAGTCAAATAGAATTTTCAACATATTGTAAAGCTTTAATTTAACATTTTAGAAACCATTTTATAACTAATTAAAATTATCTCTTGAACACTTCCATAATAATTTTAATTATATGTGCTATTTTAATTGTACGTATCATTAAGGAGATTTATTTTTACTGTTTAGAGCATTTGAGTAAACAATTCAAGGGATTAATAGAGGCATCCATTTTCCTTCC